CTTTTATTCTTTCTGCTGCATATAAGCTGTGGGAAAGAGGGAAACGAAATAATGATGCGTGAACAGACATTTATGTACAGCTGTTGCTGGATCAAGTGAGGAAAGAATTTGCTCATCTAAGTTTAGCTTACAATGTTCAGTGAGTGATTGTTGCCAAAGGATTTAAAAAGCAAGCTTAGAGGTCACAGCTTAAAAACCTGTGTGGGCAGAACTGCGCCTCCCTGAACAACTACTGCGAGGATTGCACTGAGAGAGACTGTATTTGCTAGACAGCACTCATAAATGCGTACACTCTGTGGTTTAATCCAAGTGTGCTGGATGTGTGCTGCTCCTTTAAATAATGGTTCAAAATGTAAGTACTTACATCCCTAGGCGTCTGGCCATCCTTATTCTCACGGTTCTTATCAATGTCAGGATGCGAGCACAGGACATTGACCACATCTGGACACCCAAACTTACAGGCAAAGTGGAGCGGTGTTTCAAAGCCCTACAGTGGGGGAAAAACAAAATAATAAAGTTACTGGGCTCTGTTCATGTTATTATTTAAAATGAATCTATTCAGGTTCAATTGGGAGGGTGAAAGAACTGACAGCTTTATCTGGAGTGTTGAGGTAAAGGTCTACAATGTAGCGGATTCGTTTCTGCAGCATGACTTCCTGGTCATCTGGGTACATGAGGCGCATAAACTCTGGGTTTTCCAAGGTGTCCAGCAGCAGCTGAGCAATCCCTGCCTGGTTTTCTTTGGCTGCCACGTGCATTACATTGTACCGGCAGCCCTCCTGAACATAACAAACACAGAGGAACAACTGAATGGGTCAGAAATCCTTTTTAATCTCCAGTTAACAGAAACTGCAGGTTTTTTCTAAAAATCAGAATCTGACTTTAACTTTGGGATTAATCAGGGATTAACAACGTGCCACTGATTTTATTTGAATACCTGCAGCTTAATAAACAAAGAGTTATTTATAATACACTAGCATCAACTATAAACACTTTAAATCCCAATTTTTAAAGTACTTTTAAATGTAAAACAAACACGTGATGCAAAAATTCCATTTCAGCACATCCAGCAGGTAAATTCATTTTTGTCTCAGCAGCTATAAGCTTGACACACACACACACACACACACACACACACACACACACACACACACACA